CTTCATTAGTTCTCTTTGTGGCCTTGTCGGCTGTTTATAGTTTAATAATGTCTGATGCTGATGCGTATCGATGCACCAAATGTTTAATATTAGAGGGTGAAAACTGACATCAATTTGCTCTTTAAAATTAAGAATAAAAATTGTTTGATTTCCATGTGTTCTTTGCAATAACCTTGCAGTGTCGTGCAGTATTTACAGTACAGTACCTTGCAGTATCTTGTACAGGGTGTCCGCGGGGTCTTAAAAAGTATTAAAAGTTGATAAATCAATTTAGAGAAAATGAAGGCTATTAAAAAGTATTAAAGGGCATTTCCCAAGGTATTACATTTTGTAGCTTGTTTTCAATAAGTATATAAATTGTCCAAAGAGGTTGTATTCTACAGTCTGCCTGAATGTAATCATTGCGTAGGTGTGTAGTGTGATTCTGTGTAGTTTATTTATGGCATCCCGTTGGATTTGACGTCATCTGAACAGGACATCGCACGCTCACTGCTTGATAGCGCATAGATCCGTTTACGCCGGTTGTTAAATAACATCGTTATGGGGAAATGCAAGTCTGCGTCCAAATGGTTGGAAGATAAGGAGGAAGGACAATCAATACTGTATATAGTCAATGTGAGGTAAAGTGTGTCGCCAAGGTAACCGGTTAAAACTCCAAGTGGCGTTCTCTATCTCCCCTACAATACTATGTAAACATTTTTCAAAACTAATGTGGATACAAAAGCTATTAATCCCTCCTATACCGTGGTCGCAATGTCAGCATTCAGATGGTTTTTCAAATGTTTTAAGTCACAGACAGGGATTATCTTGTCTTTTTTTTTTTTTATTCTTACAGAGGGTTCAATGTATGTGTCATCCATCAACTCTTTAAAACCTTTCTTTTTAAAGTAAATCTTAAAGAAAGGTTCATATTGAGGGATTTCAATGTCACTTTTTTAGCAACTCTTTTTTCTGTAGCTATTCTCCTTGTCCAATTATAAGCTTAGGATCTTCAAATATTAGTCAACGTGTTACTGAAGTGGCTCGTGAAGGAGACGGTTACAATGTGCTTCTGTTCGGGTGGGTTTATTTCACTCTTTTGCACAGGGTGTTCTTGTGGCTGCTGACACTCAACCTTCGCCTCAGGACCGCTCTAAGGTGGCGGCCAAATAAAATGGAGCTCTTTGTGAGAAAGCCTGAGTCTGGCACTCTGTTCTGAGACAGTTGCTGCTCACTCTCCAGGGAACAAAGGGCGCACTTTGTTGGTGTTCAGGAGACAAAGAGTGATTATTTACTGTGTTGTGTGAAACATGGGTCGTACTCAGCCAGCGGCAAAGAGAAGAACCAAAGAGAATCAACACATTATAAGGGGGGGAAGCCGTCTGTTGCTACATTTTGTTGTCTTGCTGTAAAGTCTGATGGTTCTTTACTATCAGGTTAGAGACAACATATTTGACTCGCCACATGAAATAGTCGATGCCAATACCAATGAAATTACACAATTCCCCGCATAGAAACAAGAAACAATTCCCTTGTACTTCAACATAAACCTTTTCCATCTGCATGCTGTTTTCTTTAGGGAGTTAAACCGGTCATCATTACCACTCTAATATCTATTCTATATCGCTGTGATTATTAAAGTTTCCCTCCATTATCGACATTTGCACAAGTTTATACTTAAACACATCCTAATGTTAGAACTTACCTTTGCCCAATAATCATTTTTACTAAACAGAACTTGAAAGCATCACGATATAACTCGATGGAAGTCGCTCCGAGCGTTTGTTTAACGCTTACAGCTAACAGCTAACAGCTAACAGCTAACAGCTAACAGCTAACAGCTAACATCTAACAGCTAACAGCTAACATCTAACAGCTAATATCTAACAGCTAACAGCTAACAGCTAACAGCTAACCCTACACAATGTATTCATGGTACATATGGGTACTGTAACATTTTCAGAACTTTTCCATCAAATTGGTACAGAAGCTTTGCATACATGCCAACCTTTCCAAATCCAAAAGAGGTAGGTTTGCGCGTGGCAAATGTGCTCGCCCAAATGAGGTAATCAGAAGAAATGGAACCCCAGTAATTACATGTATAAACCATGTATTTGACATATATTGCATCATTTTGTGCATTTTTCAGAAAAAGTGGTAGTTCGGTAAACAGTGACATCAACGACATGTCCGGTCTTTAAAATGTCCGAAAAGTAAAAGAATGGGAGATAAATATCCCAAAGTCTCCACATGTTATTATATGTTTAATGTGTTTCTGGTCCTCTTTCAGTTGAGACAGTGTAGATGAAGGATGTGTCAGGATGTAGAACTCTTGTGTGAACATTGGATAAAGCCAGGTTCTTGTTTCATGTTGTTGACATATTAGAGTCAAAGGTTTGCACAGAGCGAAATATCTTTCGGTTGCGCCATAAATCAGAAAATACTGCATTAAAAAAGTCATTTCCTGCATTTTTCTACTGATAAAGTGTGATATAAATAATGTACAGGCTTTCAGATTGCTGTAGTTCACTAAACACATTAACGACATGTTTGGTGTTGAAAATGTCAGAAAAAGTGAAAGAACGGGAGATAAATATAATATCCCCAAATCTCAACATTGTGTTATATGTTGTGTGTGTTTGTGGTCCTCTTTCAGTTGAGACTGTAGGATGCTTCCGGAAAAGACCAAACACTGGATGTCTTTCAGTCGCCAACATGTGTTTTCGAGACACTGATATTAACGGGGAAATCCTGCAGGACTCAAATGCCTCGTCGNATTATATTTTGTGTGTGTTTGTGGTCCTCTTTCAGCTGAGACACTGTAGGTGAAGGATGCTTCCGGAAAAGACCAAACACTGGATGTTTTCGAGACACTGATATTAACGGGGAAACCCTGCTGGACTCAAATGCCTCGTCTCTGTTCCCTTAAACTCATTTGGGAGTGATTACCCATCAGCCCCGGGGGTAACGCTGCCTTTCCTCTGCACGTTGTTTCTCTTTCAGAAACACAGAGGACTGTTTGTATGATGCGATCACAGACACGCTGCAAACGGTGTCCACCAAAAGTCGAGTCCAGTGTCTATGGAGTGTCATTTTTATTTGTTATAGTTTGGGAAGATTGAAAATCGGTAGACTACCGCCCAAATCGATAGGGTTGGTAGGTATGCAAATGTGGCTCCGCGCAGCACAGACACACAACTGCTGCCCAGCTGCAGCAACGGAAATGGATCTGCTGGGAGAAAAACTGACCCTATCAGAGATTGTAGCAGTTATCTTTGATAAATGTATCGTCCCTCATTTTTTCGTCCAACCGAAAGTAAAAGAGAGATTTTGGCAAAGTGTTTATTTATTAACCTACATTTTCATCTCCGTCACTTCGTCACGATATGCATGTTGATTTGCGTTACAGTTATTTCTGCCGCGGTGCCCGCTCGTCATCGTCTCGTTTTAGCCATGGAAAAAAAGGTTGTTGACGAAACATATTTCGTCCATACGTTTTTAGTCCAACGAAATTAAGCACTAACTGAGATGTACATGCTGATTGATTTTGAAGATGTTGGTAGGAGTCACTCCAGGTTCTCATTTAGCCCGTGGGCCAGACCACCAATGTTCTGGGCTCTGTTGAAGATGGCGTAGTACTGCTGATGAAGACGTCTCCCCAGGATCCACAGGTCGCCTCCTCCCATTAACGAAGCGCAGTACGGGCCAGCCATTGCCTCCAGACTGTGAAAAAAGAAAGAGTTTCAGATGAGGGGAAGACACAAAAGTGGGCAGGGAGATGGCATTTCTGTACGGCCAAAACCCTAGAAACTAGCATCTCCCTGATTTCCTCAACAAAAAGCCCAATGTTTCTTCCCATTAGATACGAATACAGCAACGGTCACATGACTTCACGCACCACCGGATAAGCCTAAAGGTGGCTAATGTTGGGCTATAAAGGAATAGAGCACGGTCAGCATGACGTCACCACCCCGCTAAGCTAAAAGGGGCTAATGTTGGGCATAAAGGAACTACAGCACGGTCACATGCCTACACGTCACCACCGCCTAAGCCTAAAGGTGGCTAATGTTGGAGCCCATAAAGGAACTAGAGGCCACGGTCACATGACTTCCGTCACCCACCGATTAAGCTAAAGGTGGTCTAATGTGGGGCTATAAAGGAACTACAGCACGGTCACATGACTTCACGTCACCACCGATAAGGAGAAAGGTGCTAATGTTTGCTATAAAGGAACCTAAGAGGCAGCGCCACAAATGACTTCACGTCGACCACCCCGATAAAGATAAAGGTGGCTAAATGTTGGGCTAAAAGGAACCTAGAGCACGGTCACATCGACTCACGTCACCAACCGATTAAGCTAAAAGGTGACTAATGTTGGGCCTAATAAAGGGAACAGAGCACGTCACATAACTTAACGTCCCACCACCGATAAGCAAAGGTGGCATGTTGGCCCTATAAAAGGAATAGAGGCAGCGGTCACATGAGCTTCCACGTCACCACCGAGTAAGAAAAGGTGGCTAATGTTGGGCCAAAAGGAACTAGAGACGGTCCACATGACTTCCAACGTCACCACCGATAAGCTAAAAGGT